ATCCCCTCACTGATTACACTGTAAATGATAATCTACCTTAACCAAAATCAAAGTAGACTATCACTCACCCACACCAGATGGAAAACTCTACAGACTGTCGGTTCACACCCCATCACAAGCCAGCAAAACATCCATATATATATCATCAAATAGAACTGCCCGGTAAATCGTCAAATAGAATATATATATATATGCAGGAAAAAAAAAAATCAGTGCAAAGGATACCCTCGGGAGAGGCAGAACCGGACACCTGAGGCTGTCACGGGTACTTACATGAGAGCAAAAAGTGTGCACCCTAGGGACCAAACATCTGTACGCTCGTCAATGTCACAATCACTCGGGCAATCCCACAGCTCTGGGGCTCTGTATGGAGCTGAACAATGCTCTGCTGCCCACTCCTGCACATACATTGTAATCAGGCATACAAACAACATGACACAGTGGGATTTTTTTCCACCTACACTCTGGACCTGATTGCAGTCAGATGCATCAACAACACTACACTTTCAGACGCCGAGGGCATACTCGCAGTGGGATTTTTTTTCGACTAAGCTCTGGACCTGATTGCAGTCAGATGCATCAAGGTCCAACCATAATTGTCGTTACATACATTCAGGAAAGTTCTAGTGTGAGTATGCCCTGCGATTCTGCATGGCAATCAGTACAATTTGCATTGCAAGACAGTCCAGTGGGGCAGTGTGCCAAGCCCTCACGCCTCACAACGTACTATTTGATGCGAAAACTTCGAAAAGCGATTAAAAACATTTGGCGGGTGGGATATGGTGTGTGAGTGTGTTGGAGGGAAGGGGGTGATGGGGGCTCAAGAACATTTGATCGAGTTAATTCAATTTGGATCCAGAACAAGAAAAATTGGAAAAGGGAAAGGAAAAGACAAAGCAAAAGTCGTCCTTCGGGACATCCGTTAAAATTGGAACGATACAGAGAAGGAAGATTACCATGGCCCCTGTGCAAGGATGACACACGCATAAATCGAGAAATGGTACCCCCCCCCAAAAAAAGAGGACAAAGCAAAAGTCAAAAACCACTGAGGACCAGGCCTTGCCGGTCCTACGTGTGTGCTAAGCATGAACCTGTTCGTAGTGTTGGCCAGGTTCGTGCTAACTCAGCATAAAAATAGCACAAATGAACCCTGGCTCTCAAACGAATCACCATTGCCACCTACCTTTCTCCCCTGAATAAACGCTGGGTAATGTTTAGGCTATAGATAGTAGATACATCTATCTATGACAACCCCATTTTCTATTCGAGGAAATATGGCACGCAGGGTTCCTTCCGCCTTGCTGATAGCCATTTTGGCCACCAATCCGACACATAGGGGGGGGGATCCATTTCCTCAGACGTGGGGCTGTGCCATTTTCTCAGAAATACAGCACACGATGTTCCACCCTGCAAGACATGCAAGGGCAATGAATGTGAGCAGGTGCATCTCGATTTGAAAGACATGCAAGGAGGCTATGTCACCGAATCATTGACGCGTACGTGCAAAATGTCAGTGTGTGATACAATGAATGTGAGCAGGCGCATCACCTTCTCAGTCCACCTTCTCAGCAAACTCTACTGAATGCGTACACGTAAGTGTCACTGTGCGATACAATGAATGCGAGCAGGCGCATCTCCGTTTGAATAAGACGCGCAAAGAGGCTATGTCGCTGGTTCATTGACGCATACGTGCAAAGAGTGTAGTCGCATAAATGGAAAAAAAAAAACAAAAAAAAAACGAGAACAGATGTAACGTTACCGACATAGCAAAAACAATGCCTCTTTCTTTCCATGCAAAGATAAAAACCGCGCAGGAGGAGGAGGAGGAGGAGGAGACAAGCAACCCAGTTTCCCACACGAAGATAAAGGAGGAGGTGTAGGACACGAAGAGGAGGAGAGGAATAGGAGGGGGAGGAGGAGACAAGCAACCCAGTTTTGCACACAAAAATAGAGGAGGAGGTGTAGGACACGAAGCGGAGGAGAGTAGGGGGAGGAGGAGGAGGAGGCGGAGGAGGAGGAGGAGGAGGAGAAAAGCAACCCAGTTTTCCACACAAAGATAGAGGAGGTGTAGGACACAAAGCGGAGGAGAGGAGGAGGACGAGGAGGAGAGGCAACCCAGTTTTCCACACAAAAGAGAGAGGAGGTGTAGGACACAAAGAGGAGGAGGAGGAGGAGGAGGACGAGGAGACAAGCAACCCAGTTTTGCACACAAAGATAGAGGAGGAGGTGTAGGACACGAAGAGGAGGAAGAGGAGGAGGAAACGGGGGAGGAACCGGGGGAGGAAATGGGGGAGGAGGGAAAGAAGCTAAGGATGCAACAGTGAGTCTGTTCATTCCACCACCATTTACCTGCAATGCAAGTGCTTCGCTTCTGGAGCGGATTTTCCATCTGGCAACCCTTGTGCTGCCAAAATCCATCAGCACTGCCATCAAAGCTCCATGTTTTCTTGATAAGAGAACATTCCCAGGCTTGACGTCGTTGTGAGCGTAAGGGGGGTCGCTCTTGTGCATTTCAGAAACGGCCTTACAGATCTGACCAGTGCAAGAGCACAAACAAACGCATCTGAGGACTCAGAAACGCCCTTACAGATCTCCCTCCATAAATGCAGGAGTCAGACAGTACACACCCGCAAATGCCTCAGGTTCATTTCCGGACCACTACGAAAACATACATACAAACCAACAGGATGCTCATCCCCGTCTTATTCCTCCTCATCTTCCAAACTTCTCCGCTTGCTCCTCTTCTTTCCGCTGCTTCATCCTATGCCCCCTCCCTCCTCTACTTTCTTCTTCTTCTTCTTCTTCTTCTTCTTCTTCTTCTTGGTGCTCCTACAGTCTTCCCCCGAATACAACGTACGGTCATTATAGCTGAATTTAGACTGAAACATACACCAAATTCAGCTATAATGATCGTACGTTGTATTCGGGAGAAGACTGTAGTCAACTTCGGCCAGTCTGTGCCACAGCATCTTCTGTTTATCTTCTGCCACCTCTTCTTCTTTCTTCTTCTTCTTCTTCTTCTTCTTCTTCTTCTTCTTCTTCTTCTTCTTCTTCTCCTCCTCCTCCTTCCTCCTTCCTCCTCCTCCTTCCTCTTGTGGTGATGTTAGACTTGTAGTCAAACTTCGCCTTCTTCCTCCTCCTCCTTCCTCCTCCTCCTCCTCCGCCTCCTTCCTCCTCATTCCTCTTTCCTCCTGCTCCTCCCTCCTCCTTCCTCCTCCTCCTGCTTCTTCTTCCTCCTTCTCCTCCTCTTGTGGTGATGTTAGACTGGTTGTCAAACTTGGCCAATGTGTGTATTACTGCCTCTAGACCCCTCACCATAGCAATTTAATCAACAGAACAGCTCCAAAGTAAGTGCTCATAGCACAACCCAGAAGGAATGTTACATGCAGTATATTGTATTAAACAAACACCCAATTAGCATGACATGATGGATCTTCCTGGAGTGGATTAACTTCCAACAAGAGGTTTCCTAGACCAAACATGGAGCCCGTTTCCATGACCTTCACTTGACCAAACTAGTCTCTACTATTCAGTCGCCTACGACATCTCTGTCAATGCTGCCTGTGCATCTTTTTTTTCACCGCTGCCTGCCTGCCTGCGCATTTCCGGCTCTTGTGCCACCTCCCTCACCTGTAAGAATAACCGTAAAACAGTTTTCGGTGGGTAATGCTCCTTCCTTGTCTGCATTCTCTGCAAGTGATCGTGTATTGTTCCATCCTTGTGCAATGGGAACAGAAGGTACGCCTCCTTCTTCCATTGTCCATCTTGCGTACCCTGCACCCATGCCCACCAACATCGGCAATGCAAAACACGGATCAGCCACGATTCCTCTCTCCTAAAAATCCAAGACAATCGACAGGAATATGTCACCCACACTTCGTACTCTCTGAGTCCGCCCATGAAAGCCCAGTTCACAGCAAAACCAAGCCGCGTGTGTCCTCTCTCTCTCTCTCTCTCTCTCTCTCTCTCTCTCTCTCTCTCTCTCTCTCTCTCTCTCTCTCTCTCTCTCCCCCCTTCTGTCTCTCTCCATCCTCTCCACACACATGTCGTCCCTCTCAA